CATCCCAAGTGTTTGGAAACTGCAAAGTTACTTTTTAGAGTGCCAAAACGCCGTCCACCAAGTCTGTATGGGAATGTGACATTTAGTGATCCTCCCTTTTGGGCTGTCAGTTATGACTGATCCCCCCATCTGTCATCCTAAAAATCCAATGATCCCCTCAAAAATCCCTCCCCCCCACCTCGCTCCAGGCGATGAATAATGACCGGTCCCCAATATGAACAATACGACAGAAGAAGTTATAAACCTGGAGTCTGGTCATTTATGAATCGCTAGTGAGCTCCCAGTCGATAGTTAATGTAAAGGGAATAACATTTTGATTTCACTGGAACATCTTTTTTTTTTTGTAAACTCGTGTGTAAGGAGACATCGAAAACGAAATCCACATTCGTAAGAGTGGAGATTATTCGCACTGAAATTAACGCAAGCAACTACAGTAAGGAGCCGAATTCTGTTTTATCTAAACAACACGAGAATTTATTTTGGAACTGGCATTTCATGAAGGTTACTGTGTTTTCTCGATTAATAACCCTCTAAACCTCTTTAAGTTTTGTTTCAAATTTGGCCCGGCTGGGCCGGGCATATTTTATATTCTAGGGTAGTTTTTGTTGCCATTTCTTGAGGTCCTACTTACAGGTAACCGGCTTTTAATCGAGTAAACTGAATACGGCAACTCTCGCTTTTCATGGTTAAAGATACTAAACAAAACAATCTTTATCATTTCAATATTTTCTTAAAGGTAAAACAAAAATCCATGCAGGTTATTGCGAAAAATAAAATAGGCGCGCCATGCAAAAGAAGACCACTGCACGGCACGTTAGCTCTTGAATGGTTTTCTTTCTCACGAAATGTTTGAGAAACGAGTTTCACGCCGTGATTTTCATTGCAATTTTAAAATAACAAAATTTCGACTTCTCATTTTAGCGAGGAAAATTCATATTTGGGCGAAAAAACGTTTCCACCGCGTTTTCCACCAGACCCCGTGCTTTCCACACCCCGCGTTTTCCACACCCCGGGACCCCGTACCCCGCACTCCGGGACCCCGGCCCCGCGTTTTCCACCTAGCCATAGCGGACATCAGGGACATCAGCCCCCAAATCGATCGAGCGAAATTATACAGCTTTTGCCAACGTGGAATTCAAATAATAAAACAGATTAACTAAAAATAACATTTACCAGCTGCTGTGACTCTCGCAAGTCTTAAAACTCCGTTTGAAATCTGTAGTTCGCGTTAAATTTCATTTCGAGGCGCGCGGCTGCACTTAATGAGGTGAGACTTGAAAGAACGGTTCGTTACTCAAGACCTCGATGTCCCCTTTTTCCGAGGTCGAACATCCTTTAGTTTTATTTCATCCCATTTTGAGTCCCATAAGGGTGTTTTCTAATCGTAAAAGTAGAAAACATTGTAGGCATGAAACATCTTGAGAGAGCCTTCCGGACGCTATTTGTTGGTTTGGTTAAAAATGGTCTAATGCTAAACTGCGCCTTTCTACTACCCCCTGAGGTCAAATATATTCGTACTGTGCATGGGTGGCCAATCGTGACACGAAAAAAACAAAAAACCAGAACGTCGGCGAAAACTAGACTCGGCCTGCTGAATAACAACAATTGTTGTATGCCTCGTTCTTGAATAGGTGCTATTCTTATTCAAATCAGCGACCCGAGATGATCCGGTCCGACTTTTGTAGCTGCCTTCTTCGAAGTGATCGTCAGACAAGATGTGGCGCACTTGGTGCAGCGTCCTTTTTCCGTTTTTCCTGATCAGCGTGACATCTGCAAAGCCAAACATTATTGTATTTCTTGTGGACGACCTTGGAATCGCAGATCTGGGCTGCTTCGGTAATGACACGATCAAAACACCGAACATTGATCGGCTGGCTGAAGAAGGAGCTCGATTGCGACATGATGTAATGCCGGATTCGATTTGTACACCAAACAGGGCTGCCCTTCTTACAGGACGGTATCCCATCCGATCAGGACTCGCCTCAGACGAAGGGCAACCTAGAATGTTTCTTTCCGCTTCTGCATCTGGTGGTCTGCCCCAAAATGAAACCACATTTGCTGAGATTGCATCTGCTGCTGGCTACAAAACAGGTTGGTCCAATATTCGCAAAATTTTAGGCAGTTGTTCGACCCTTGAGGTTACATTTGCATGAAACAAATTTGCATCACAACAAAGCAAGCGTGCGACGGCAATGATACATAGAAAGTCTTTGTTACCCCCAAGAACCAATATTGGTCTTTCATGATGAGTGTTGGCATTGAAGAAAGAGACCAAAGTGTTCAGAGTCCTCAATTATTGCAGCCAGGTCCAGGGATTTTTATCTTATCTGCATAGGTAGCCAAGGGCATGAAATTGACACTGGCTAACTCTCCCCTCCCATCCTAAGGTTCAGCATTGATAAGAAAAGGAAATAACTCTCTTGCTCTCTACATGCACTGCAGGCCTATGCTGCTCTAGAGATAATTTTTTTTGACCAAAAAAAAAAGAACCAACAACAAAAATAACAAAAAACATAATTTTAAAAGTCAACTTTAAGAAACTTGGTACATTTTACTGATAAGTTCAGTACTTTTTTCTTTAATTAATTGATGTCACACAAGTAACAGAAACTTTGAAACAACTCAGGAATTGAGTTATTTTGGGTGCCACGAAATGGAATACATGTTTTAATTTTTTTTGTCGAACTTTATGGAAAAATTACTTGAATATCCTGAATGAATATTATTCTCATTTGTTAGAAAGTTGGGTGTTGACTGAATTCAAAGTCAACTTCAAAAAATCCAATCGTTATTTCTTTGTCTTTTTCTGTTTAATAGGTATTATTGGAAAGTGGCATCTAGGGCTGCACCTATCATCAAACTCAGATTTCCACTTCCACCCTTTGAAGCAAGGTTTCCATTATTTTTATGGTCTGCCTCTCACTAACTTAAGAACTTGTGAGTCTGGTCAGTATCTTATAAACCTTGTTTATCCTGGGTTGAATCCAAAGAACATTCTTGCTTCTGCGAGTGTTATTGTAGCAACACTATATATTTTCTACCTGACTGGTCTACTAGATAAGTCTGTTTTTATTTTCAATGCAACAATAAGTCTTCTCATCTGTTTTGCAATAACTGGCTGGTTAACAATACCTCAAAGACTGAACTGCTTTGTACTGAAAAACTATGAAGTTGTGGAGCAACCAACCATTTTGGAAAACTTAACAATTAGGTTTACAGATGAAGCAGTCAACTTTATCCGTGCAAACAAAGAAAGCCCCTTCTTATTGTACATGTCATTTGCCAAGGTACACACTGCTTTGTTCAATACACGGCCATTCACAGATCACAGTGATCATGGTCGCTATGGTGATAATGTGGAGGAAATGGATTGGAGTGTAGGTCAGATCATGGCTGTGGTTCAAGAACTGGGTTTGAAGGAAAACACATTTGTTTACTTTACATCTGACAATGGTCCTCATCTGGAAGAAATCAGTGACACAGGTGAATATCATGGCGGCTGGCATGGTATCTACAAAGGAGGTAAGATGTCTCAAACTCATAAGATGGCTGTATACTAAAATGTTTTTTTGTACTAGCCAGCTCTATTGTGTTGTTCCAGAAAATATTCATACCTTCCCCACGGAAGGGATTTTCTGCGAGACCCCCCACCCCTTTCAAATTCCAATTAAGCTTGATTCATTACTTTAAATAATTTGGTCTCAGAGAACCTCCCACCCCCCAGGAAAGTCCAGTTTCTTCTGTGAGGGGGTGGGGTGGGTGGTATGGATATTTTCTGGAACTGGACATAAATGATTGACAGGTAGCCTAATTTTAACTAATTTTGCAGAAATGTAAAAAACTCTCTCAGTCATTTTATCCAATCTTAGATAAAGACCTCGGGTTCTACATAATAAATGTTAAGAACAAATACTTAACAATTATTCACTGAAGGCGAAGTGAACATTGGTGAATATTCACCAATGTTCACTGAGCCTGAGGCGAATAATTGTTTAAGTATAATTTTCAGAGGTGAATATCAAGGACTACAAAATTTGCTTGTGATTGACGCAACCACTGGATTTAAGAAAAGCCTGGAATAAAAGTTCTTGAAAAGATTTTTTGGTCCAAGTGCGACAGTAGTCATTTTGAAAATTCTCCATCATTTCAAATATCCTGGACTTGGAGTGATGTCTTTCGAATAAATGAAAACTTCATTAAGCAACTGTCTGCCATGTTTACTTGCCGGGATGGCAAAGGTGGCCAGCTTAGTAACCAAGCTCTAGTGGGGTGAATACAGCATCATATGATGAGCTTTTCGACCAATCAAATGTCCAATTCTTGTATTCACCTCTGGAAATTATACTAAATAGAGGATATTACATGGTGGTGAGAAGATATATTTTATGTTCGAGTGGCAAGAGCTATATGCGCTCACTCGTGAGCTATTGTTCTTGCCATGAGAACATAAAATTCATATCTTCGAGCTAACCTGTAATGTTGTTTTTTATTTAGACAAACTGATGACGATGTTTTTGATGATTTTCTGAAGATTTCTGACCACTTTCCGAAGATTTCCAACGATTTTCCAAAATTATTCCGAGGGCAAGACGAACATTTCCGAACATTTTGCGAACATTTCCAAACATTTTCCGCAGATTACCGAAGATTGCAAAGATGATCAAAGAAGATCTGAAGATGTTTCAATCATACACCAACAATTTAAGTGTAGTTAAAGGGACAAAAGAAAAATGTTATCAAAAATGATATCTTCACATGTGAGGATATCATATCGTTTTTATCAATTCGTTACCACTCGGTATACCACTGACTTTTATATAATAATACAAATTAACAAATTAATTTTAATCATGTTTTTTCTATTTAATTGACAGGCAAAGGGCAGTGCTGGGATGGTGGTGTTAGGATGCCCACTGTAGTATCATGGCCTGGTCATATCCCAGCTGGGATCTCACTTGACAAGCTCACCAGTAGCATGGACTTATTACCCACAATTGCCAAGCTAACTGGTGCAGACCTTCCAGAGGACAGAGTCATCGATGGAAAAGACCTCTTACCTCTTCTGACCAACATGAGACAGGAGTCTTCTCATGATTTTATTTTCCATTATTGTGGAAATCAGGTCCATGCTGTGCGTTATCATCCAAAAAACACTGACGCTGTCTGGAAGGCTCATTTTATGACACCAAAATGGAATGAGGGAACTGACAGCTGCATCGGAAAAGGCGTATGTGGTTGCCATGGAGATGAAGTTAACATGCATGATTCTCCTCTTCTTTACAACATGACAGATGACCCTGCAGAGAGCTCTCCTATTCCTGTTAACATGCCCAAGTACAAAGAACTGATGAAAGATATTTACCCAGCTCTCAAAAAACACAAAGAGAGTGTTGAAAGTGTCCCTACCCAGCTTGGAAGGATGCAGAATTTTGTTCATCCCATGTTGCAGATGTGTTGTAATTTTCCCTACTGCACTTGTACGGAAACTGGTAGAGAACTTGAGCATTATCCTAAAGATGTTTGAGAAAGTCACTGACCAATGTGTAAGAAACTTAAGTACCCACACATAAAAGCAATGACTGGGTTTTGGGGTTTGCATCATGGAGGCAATTTGACCTTACAGTCTCATCGCATCAAGTCTTGTTTTCCCCTACAAAGATAGGATCAACCGTTCCCAAATGTCAAAAGTTTTATATATACGAGTGTCTCAATGAGGTAGTGGCTTTTACGGCTATCGGTTACATTTTAAGCATTTTTACGCCTGACGGTTCAATTTTTGGCCCTTTTACAGCCAACGCTTATTTTTTTCCCCGTTACGATTAACTGAAATTTCAATAACTAATTGCCATTGTTTTACATTATAATATAATAATTAACTGGCATATAATAGTTAATTTCCATTGGTGTGAAGCATGGCAAAATCATGAAAAGTACAGGGAACATTCTCGGTTGACAAAAAATGAAATTTATGTGGTCCACAAATACATAACAGTCCTGTACTGCGGGACTTAGAAATTTGGAACTTTTAATTTCTAAGAAGTAAAACAAGGAATAATGTTTGCCTGTGTGTGGTTAGGTGTTATAAACATGAACTGTTCTTGTTGTTCTGTTGAAGTAATGATTGTCATGCTTCTTTTTACATTTGTGATGAGGCTTACCGTTTTACGCCCTCTTAAACATCATAACGTGTCCACGCCTTGACCTGCCTCCCTGAGCTCATTATCACCGCTCTACTAGTAGTAATCATAGATTAAAGAGTGCGTTCGAGTATTGGTAGGTTTGGTATGTTAAAAAAGCATAACTTCTAGGAACAGCATTTGTGCCTGAGCTGTTAGGTAGACGTGAAATTGGCCTTCCCTCCAGTAAGGGCGAAAACAAATGAATTGATCGCAGAACACGTTGTTTCGTTGATGAAATAGGCGTTGCCTCTTAATTGACAGATTTATTTGTTGACAAGAATCGTGATTTACATAAATTATATACATTGATTTAAAGGCGTTAGGTTATTGTGTTTCAAACCAGTTTTTCAGTAGAATCGAAGTGAGAAAGAAGTTATTTAGTCTGTCTGTTAAACCCGCTTACCTGGAGAATCTGTTTGGTAAACCCGCTCACCTAGAGAATCTGTTAAAGACTCAGTCCTAACCCGTAAAGTGCGACTGTTGTAACTACCTGCCACAGAAGTAAGTTAAAATTCAAGTTTTGTGAATTTAGCTTCGAGATAAAGATTTATTTGTGTTTGTTCTAATTGCGAATTATAAATGTATTTCTTTTAGATCGAATAATTATTAAACCGTGGCTTGATATTATGCTGTTTGTGGTGGTCTTTTGAGCTAGCCAGGTCCATGTGCAACACACGTATATCTGAGCACAGGTGGCCCAAGCTCTCAATGTTATACTTTCTCTTTTCACTTTTATGTGAATGTTCAGCGTAACGTGACATATAACTGACATACAACTGACTCGATTTAAAAAAAAAAAACATCTAAAAATTAATCTAAATCCCGTCTATTTAATAATAATAATAATAATAATAATAAT